CGGTCAATCAAGGACGGTCTCCCAAAGGTGAAGGATCGGGTTGCCCGAGTTCTCGAAATTAAAGGCTTGATGAGACAGGCTTTAGTTAATGAACGGGAGCTTGTGAACCAAGTTTTAGCCCCTAAACTGAACGACAAGGGCGGGAATCAAAGGAAACGGGCAAGGAGCTCACCAGCGGAGAGCCCCGATCTTCCTGAATTGGCCAATCAGCCTCTGTCAGATGTCGAGCAGAAGGTCGAGGACAGGGCCACCCAGATGAGACCCCCTACTGAGCACACTCCAGCTCTAAAGAAGCGCCCTCAGCAAACCAGGAAACTTGCCTCTCTCCCAACGGTTGACGGAAGCAGCTCTATGAACTCTGCTGTGGCACCATCAAATGTGGGTAACTGGGAGAAGAGGCTTTCCCGCAAAGAAAAGAGGAAATTGAGACGAATGGAGGCTGTCTCTAACAAAGAACCTGCAGCAAGAGATCGAAAGATTGCTGACCCTGCTCCGGCGAGGGAGGTTCGTGGAAAGTCCCCCCCTGTTTCAAAGAAACCCAGGCCGAGAAAGCCCAGGGCTGAGGCAATCCTGATTAACCCCTTAGGGGGGCGCTCTTTTGCTGAAGTCTTGGGTCGACTCAAGTCTAAGGCCAAGCCAGAGACTCCCTCTTAGATCAGCTGGCCCAAGAGATCGGTGCGGACACCCTTCTGATCAGCGAGCAGTACCGTGACAGGGACCCACACTTCTGGTTCCCAGATTCTCTTGGTACTGCCGCTTGTTGGGTTCGAAACAGCACGGAAGCACCAGTGCGAGATCACGGACGCGGCCGAGGCTTCGTTTGGGTCAGGTGTAGGGACGTCACGTTTTTTAGTGTCTACCTTACCCCCAACGAGCCAATTCGGGAATTCCGTCTGAAGATTGACCGCTTAGAAGACAGTGTAAGGGGTACCGTTGGGCATGTCGTTGTTGCTGGTGATTTTAATGCGAGGGCTGTGGAGTGGGGTATGACCTCTACAAACTCCCGGGGGAAATACATCCTGGACTTTGCCGCCAGGGCCGGACTTGTCGTCTTAAACGAGGGTGACACGCCTACTTTCCGGCGCCCCGGCATGAGAGGTACGATCCCCGATATCTCCTTCTCGTCGGAATCACTACTAGCACGGATCTCCAACTGGAGAGTCATCGAAGACCTCACGGCAAGTGATTATCAGTACATCGTTTTTGATATACTGGATGAACACCATAATCAGGCGCCTGTATCACGATCTGGACCACGCCGATGGAATACGGAAAAGCTGGATGTTGAGAAGTTCACTGACGTAATCTCACGGGGAGCGCTGGTGAATTCTGCTGCACCTGTTGACGCTGAGGCATTGGTAACGTCCACGATGGAACTGATTGTCTCGGCTTGTGACCAGGCCATGCCACGCAGGGGACGCCGTCGCGATAAGCAAGCTGTGTACTGGTGGACTTTAGAGATCTCGAACCTTCGGAAAGCTTGTCTGAAAGCCAGACGTGCCGCTATGAGGGCCAGAAGATTCCCGGATTTCGAGGCTAAGTCAGCGGCTTATAGGGCTGCGAAGAAAGCTCTTCGTCGGGCTATCATCAGGAGCAAGGTTAGCTGTTGGAGGAGGCTTCAGGAGGATGTTGACTGTGATCCTTGGGGACTGGGCTACAAGGTTGTAACCCAGAAACTCGGCGCCCGATCACCACCTTCCGTCATGGAGGGCACCACCATGGACAGGATCGTCACCGCCCTCTTTCCGTCTCATCCTCGGCGGCCTTTTTTCGACTATGGCGAGTTAGGGGACATTCCACTCTTTAGCATTAAAGAGCTGGAATCATCTGTCCTCTCCCTGAAAAATAGAAAAGCACCTGATCCTGATGGTATTCCCAGTGAGGCTCTCAAGAAGGTATTCTCAGTTAACCCCCTCTTACTGCTGAGAATGTACAACACATGCCTGTGCGAAGGGGTTTTCCCAACTCCTTGGAAAAGGGCTAGGCCTGTGCTAATCAGCAAGGGGAAAGGTGACCCGAATATGCCGTCGTCTTACAGACCCCTCTGTATGTTGGATGTGGCCGGAAAACTCTTCGAGAAACTGATCCGCTGCCGCCTGACGTCTGCCGTGGAAGCTGCAAGAGATTTGTCTCCTCGTCAGTACGGCTTCAGAAAGGGTCGGTCAACAATCGACGCGATATCCGAGGTACACAGAGCGGTAGAGCGTGCCGAGAGCTTCAATCATTACTCTCGCCGTATCGTGCTTCTTGTTACGCTAGATGTCAAGAATGCTTTTAACTCGGCGAGATGGGTCGATATGTTGAGCGCGTTGAGGAACAGCTTCCGCGTACCAGCATATCTGTTGAGGCTGATCGAGGACTACCTGCGCTGCAGAACTCTTAATTACGAAACTAAAGATGGTTCGCGGACGATGGATGTTACTTCCGGTGCCGCGCAAGGTTCGATACTCGGCCCAGATTTGTGGAACGCTGCCTACGACAGCCTTCTGAGATCTGAGATGCCAGAGGAGACCGTTTTAGTTGGGTACGCCGATGACGTCGCAGCCCTCATTGCTGCACGCAACGTTGAGCTAGCCCAACTGAAACTGAACCAAGTCATGCGCGTTGTAAACGCCTGGATGACTGATCATGGTCTGACACTCGCTCTGAGCAAGACAGAGATCGTCATCCTCACGAAAAAACGGATTGAAACCATCGTTCCGCTACGAGTTGGGAACGTAGTTGTCCAAACCACGCGAACCGCCAAGTACCTTGGTGTCATGGTGGACAACAAGCTGAGCTGGAGGGACCAGATCTTCCGTACGGCGGACAAGGCTGCTAGGAGTGTTGCTGCTCTTAGTAGGCTTATGGCCAATGTCGGTGGTCCCCGGTCCAGCCGTAGAAGACTACTGATGTCTGCAGTCCAGTCCGTGCTTCTCTACGGCTCTGAGGTGTGGGCAGACGCGCTTAACAAGGAGGCGTATAGGTTGAGGCTCGCACGAGTGCAGCGTCAGGCGGCACTCAGGGTCGCTTCCGCGTACCGTACGGTGTCCGAACCGGCCGTTTTGGTGATCGCTGGAGTTATCCCAGTCAAACTCTTGGCAGCGGAGAGGAAGGCAATCTACCAGAGACAAGGCTACATCGGAAAGGACGCTGCAAGAACAGAAGAGCGCTTCCGCACTTTTCAGATGTGTCAAGAAAGCTGGGAAAGGGAGACTCGAGGACGTTGGACTGCCAGACTCATCAGGCAGGTCCAACCGTGGGTAGAACGGCGGCACGGTGAGGTTGACTATTACCTCACGCAGTTCTTGTCAGGTCACGGCTATTTTCAGTCGTACCTGCACTTGATGGCCAAAACGAATTCACCTGACTGCATTTACTGCCCATGCATTCCCGACGACGCGGAACACACTTTTTTCCACTGTCCACAATGGGATATGCTTCGCCAGGAGGCCATTCAACATCTTGGGGTGCTGTCGATTGAATCGATCTGTGAGACCTTGCTGAAGGGTGAGGACAACTGGGACTGCTGGTCGCACTTTGTCCGGAATGTCCTTCAAGCTAAAAAGAATGATCTAGATCGGAACATAGTCTAGATTTGATAAAAAATAAACGGCTAGACACGGCGTAAGCCCCTCGGGCGTAGGCAAACTCGGCCTAGTTCTGATGAAGTGCGACAAGTGTTCCCAGGCTAGTGTCCGAAGAGTAGAGGAGGTTTTTAGTGGGTAGTCTCTGGGCCTTAAGCCCGTTGGAGTCCCACACTACAGGCTAGCAACCTGTGTGCATAAATGCATTTTCCCACCTCTCCCTAAAAAAAAAAAATCATTCTTTTTTACACTTTTTAGACATATTGAACATTAGAGATTTATCTAGACATCTTGTAACTAAATAAAATTGAAATAAAAATTTGTAGGAAAGCTAGCTAACAAAAACAAGCCCATGGGGCGTAGCCCAAGGGAAATATGAAAATTAAATGATATAATATTGCATTGTCATCTATTTGTGAGCTATGTTTCAAGTTTCAAGTCTCTAGCTCTTTGGGAAGTATCAAAATTTGCAAGAAAGCGAATTAATAAAAACAAGCCCATGGGGCGTAGCCCAAGGGAAATATGAAAATTAAATGATCTAGTATTGCATTGTCTTCCATTTGTGAGCTATGTTTCACGTTTCAAGACTCTAGCTCATCGGGAAGTTAGTATAAAATTGATTGCAAAATTTGTACCGGACAAGAAAGCGAGCTAATAAAAACGTTTTAAAATATACAAGTTTTTGCGAGGTGTTGACTCCTCGTAGTATAAAATATTCCAACGTTTGTCCTGAGTACTAATACTATTTTAGAAAGCCCGTTTTCTACTTTTCAGTGTTTAAAAGCTAATAAAGTTATTAGTAACGTGGTGTTTGAGGACAACGCCTGTTTTACGAAGTATTAATTTCAAAAAAGCTACTACCAGCTTCATGTGCACATTTAAGTGGTATGTGTTTGGTATGTGGGTCCGCATTTCTTTTATTTCAACCCAAACATTTTTGTGATTTCAACATAGCTCAAGCCCAAAGTAGTAAAATTCTTACTTTGTGTATAAAAGACTACTGTAAACCTGTAACCATGCGTTTGTTTGCATATGTTTTGCATACCTTTTTACAATGGAATGTAGAAGTTACGTTCTATTGTTTTTCTGTTTTCTGTGGGCAAAATATGTATGCTATGTGCAACAGTTTATTCAGCTTAAGAGCTAAGGCACCTGTTCTCTCAGCTTTCAATTGTTAGCTTCGATAAAATTGATCTTTAATAAAATATTTAATTCATTATTTAATTATTCAGTAAATAGGTACTTCAAGTATATGCATGACATACGATTTGTGGACTTAGATAACGGATCTATTAAAGACAGATCTATTTCATAAAAACCAATATTAGATCTCGGAGTAGGAAGCAGATATACCCTACTCACAATTCTCACAATTAGTGTGAGAACATGTAGGTTTTGTAGCATAGCAACACTGATATTTCAGGACATGCTCAACATGAATTGGCACGTAATAAATTAACCAGTACATGTTAATCATGGAGGGTATCATTACCACATCACGTATATCTTTATAATCGGATTTTAGAATGGGTTAAATCTAAATTTATACTATCATACTATCGCCACTAGATCGAATTTCAACATTACACCCTACAGATCGCTCCAAAATGATGGGCTGGTTCTTCCCATCGTCAACCGAGACAAAGAAACACCGCAGGTTCGTCTCGGAGCCAATGGGTGACAAGGACGTCACGGAGCTGCCGGGGATAGGGGAAGTGTTGGGGGGAAGACTCAGGGACGAAGGGTATTGCGAAGCCAGCCAGGTTCTCGCTCAGTTCCTCAGGCTGAACAAGGACAAAGCTGCGTTCCAGAGGTGGCTGAAGTGTGTGTGCGACGCCAACTGTAAACAGTGCGAGGACTGCTATAGAGCCTTGTGTGACTACAGCAACAAATACATGGTTACCAACTACTCATTATGAGATTATTGAACACAGTAAAGGTGTTTTTCTTTATTTTTTCTTGTATGTAAGCCAGTGTCACTTTATGTTAATTTAAACACTTTCAAGGGAAACTATCTAAGCATAAGTTTTCTGAATATGCCGGGGATCGAACCTGATCCTCCCGCAAAGAGTTTGAGACGCTAACCACTTAGCTAGCAACGCAACAAGCATATTGTTGTTGAAAATATGTTTTGTTTTGTGTCTATCCACTTGCACTTGTGTGAAATGTGTTTGGGTATTGTTTTTATTACCAACCTTTTGTTAGTAGCATAATCGAAAGCCTAATGTCAAACTACATCTCTTGGAGTCGAACCGGCGACGTTTAGGAATTACGTTGAGTATATTACACGCTCTGCTACCCATTATGGTATTTCTGAATATAGTAGTGTCATTAAATAATTATAAAATTACATATAATCATGTTTTTGAGCTACCATGCTATAATCCGTCCTAGTTCTAGAGAGCTGGATAGAAATCCATACCAGAAATAGAAGGGACGCTTTTTTATATCAAAACCATTCGGGGCTTCGACCCCGTACTTTTTGAGTCTAAATACCTTTCAGAATCCTGCCTGAATGCCGCAAAGTTCTCGCACTTACAAAAACATCACCATCAATGAAACATTTTCTCTAAATGCCCACATTATCTTGAAACATACCGTACACATTATGATAGTATTGAATACGATATGCAACATAATAATATTTTTTTAGCATTGTTGCACCAATGACCTACTTTAAGCATGATTCCAGAAATAACCACTATTAGCAAACTCCATTCACACACGTAACTGATTCAAAACCACAACCGAAAACCACACCAGCCACTAACCTCCCGTCCACACCTCTACGCTATATCGTATTTTTACTCGTCCTATTTCGTACAATGAAGCTTTTATGTGGCTTTTTCATCATGTTTGTGACAAAATTTAGCTGTTTGGCATTTAAGATGGTTTACAGACATTAAAACACAAATCATAGGTAAACATTTTAAACATAGAACAACCTTACACTATTGCCAATTGATAAACATAGGTAACTTACTGTTTTTCTTAAAAGATAGTTGGTCTGCAATCTACAAGACACATGCAAAGCAGGGTTTTCAATACTTGTTGCCTTTATGAAGCTCTTTGATTAGGCTTATATTCGTTAATTGGTGCTTTTAATATAAATAATTACTTTGCTTCGCTTGATGTTTTAGTGGCTCGCTTAAGCCACATAAGAAACCCTTTCCTTATAATTTAAAAGTATACACACGTAAGAGGATGTTATTTATAATATACGAGAGGTCGTCCAGTGGTCGAAACTCGACCAAAAATATGTAATGTACTCACTTATCTATTTTCACTCCACACTGTAAATAAAACATGTGATTGGAGTTTCCTCCATTTGTTTTCTGTTTATATTTCGTTGTTATTTCGTAACCAGCATAGCAACGCATAAGATCCATTTTAATTTTTTCAAATTTTTAAACTCATTTTTTGTGCTTATCTTTGAGCCTATTTAAATTTATAAAGGGATTCTGCACACCTACAGGAAAATAGCTTTCAAACGGTATGCGTAGATTTTCCCTACGATGCACACGAGCTGAGAAAAAAGGTTTTAAAGAAACATGCTTGCCTATTAATATATAGATAGATTCTGTGTTTAACTTACTGCTTTTGAATTGCCAGCTGTTGTAAAATGTTAATAGGCTATTTTAATTACCATGATTGTTAATAATGAAAAAATATGTTTATTTATTTTAAAAGGAATGTAAACAATAATTAGTTAGTTTTGTGTTGGTTTTAATAAAAAAAATGTTGTTAAAATTGTTCAAATAAAATAATGTATGTTCTTTCACCAAATACTCTTTTTGAGCGTTCATTCATAACATAGTCACAAATTAAAAAAATTAATTTTAAAATGTACAGTACCAATTATTACTAATTCATAAAAATACATAAAGTTTTGTAGCGTATTTCGTACTACTGTATGAACACGACCACTCTAGAGATGTGTATTACAAAAATATTAAACTGTATGGTGTTACCGTTTGTATGATAATTACGAACACTTAAAACATATTAGATTTAATCATACTCTACATCATAGTAGAAATTAATCTCATGGTAATAACAATTAAACTACCTAGCGAGTTATAGTTCAACGTTATTAATATTATGTCTAAACGACTATGCTATAATTGTTGTGATATCAATACATTGTGTAAAATAGACTACTTCACATTTTGTTAGACTATTTTCGTTAATAATAATTGAGTTATTAATGTAAACTGTTTAATAGATGTTTAAATTAACTGGCTACCGTCACCATGTTAACCGTTGCGGTTTAAATCGACTACATATAGCTGTTCCATAAATAATCATTGTATGGATCTTTCATTCCGATTCATCAATTACCTATTTCTCTATGACATCACTGTATTTTCAGGCCAACCTGTAGGGTTTTAATACAATCCTTTTTGGAGTGGTGCGACATTGAAACTTATTTTCAACTTTGATACAGTTTTTTGGATTGTGTTACCTCTTTTTGTACTTTCAAAGTGCTAATGAATTTCAAATTCCTTTTGTTATTGATAATGAAAGGTAAATAATCCAGAAATAGCTTCACAAAGATTAAAACTGACTGTAGTTAGTCACTGGACGACGTGTTTGTGGACTCGTTAATGAAGAATTAATATTTATGCAAAACCATCTGATTAGCATTTATATCACTAATTACAGCGGTGATGGTGTGGTAAATACTCCTACAAACAGAAATTGACATTTTAGTGTATTTAATTATTTAACTTTTCCAATTTTTTGTATAGTAGGTGTAGTTTGATCACCAAATTCGTACATTTAAAAGTAACTTAAATCTAACATGGATAAAAATACGACCACAGCAAACGTGATGACTAAGTGAACTTCCATTTTCCTGATTAGATTTTCACTGAAATCATTCCTTAAAATGTCAAATTAATTCCATTCTTAGATCAACTTAAATTGTATGAGTACTTACTTAGGTTTACTTAGCAAAGGTTTGTTGTAGGCTAGTAGAATGTCATATAATTGAACTTAATCGAAATGTTACAACAGTTGTTTTCTTATTTTCCCAGTAAACAGGTTGAATGTCTTCTCAGATGTGACTTTACCCAGAACAGTTTGTTTTAAGTCTTTTAGCAAAGTTACCTTAATGCAAACACGCAACTCAGTTTACTCAACGTGGTTACCATGGTTTAGTTAAGCAAATTATCAACATGTGTTTTAAGTTAACATGAAGACCATTAATATAGCAATACAGCTTGACAGAGAATATTACCATTATTACTCACGCAATGGCTGGCGTATGGTGGATTTGAGGGATAATTGATCAAATATTTAAAGTGCTTTCAAAAGCTTTACATTCGAAACGCAAGAGAATTTCCTGTGGATTCACTTTTGAAATGTCTTAGAAACTGTTCCAGAAATTCTACAAAAGTGAAGTCAAATAAATTTGAACTGAATTACATTTTAGAGAGTTAGTAAACAACAGCAAAGCACAAATTTTATAATTTTTTATTAAATTTATTTAGGCTACCTATAAGAAAAATTTAAGTTCAAAAGTGTAGTATTAATATTTTAAAACTAGCAGAATCAAACTCCGATGATTATTTATGTAATTATTTAGTAATTGTTAAAATTTTAAAGTAAAATATTTTAATCTTTGAATTTTATTTCTTAGGCCAGTCAATAACAGCATTCAACATCGCAAACGCGCATGTATCTACGATTTTTTTATATGTTGTTAGGTCCCCTAAGAGTAGTTTATACCCAAGTTTGCAACCCTGAAACCCCTGTGCTACTCCTATGATACTTGAAAAACTGTAAAATTCTGGCTCATTTTTTTGTTTTATTGAAAAAACTAACTAAAGGAAGTGTTTGTCAGGTATATGTGTCCTATACTTTTTTAAAGTTAACTACATTTGCAACAATTGGAACCCAGTTTGAGCCCATTAAGTCCATTTCTTGCGGATATACAGTTAGTAAAAAATAAAACAATTTTTTCAAGCATTGAAATATTATCGGTAGGCTCATTTGCCGAGATGCGTACAGGCTGAAGTAATGATCATAGAGAAAAGTCTTTAGGAAGGGTTTTATAGAGAATTTAATAATCTTTAATTCAATTCCAAAGTTGTGTGTCTAGGCCTTAAAGTTTCACAAAAAATTTTAAAATATAAAAATATCATATTTTGCGTAAATGTTGTATTTTGTGTTGTATTTCTTAAAAAGGTTTGGACTCTACATTCAAGACATGCTTGGCCAAAAAAAAACAACACATAAAGTCAGACGAGTATCGCACGTTCACAGGGGGGTCCTTTACAAAACGTCTGATAGATTCTGGTCTGGTTTATGGACAGATTCGACCATGGAACATGTACTGATGAGGTCCATGAAAAGCCAGGGTGGGCTAACTGTGACGTTCTACTTATCTCTCATGCCAAACATTTTGTTTGATGAACCAACACCCATCAAAGTGTCCCAAGCAAAAATGCTCTCAAATGAAAACACCGACTGATCACCATGCTGTGTACTGAATTTGAGATGCATGGTATTTAAATACATCAATCTCAGGAGGACGCCGATGCTGATATAGTGAGGACTGCCCTCTCCAAGAGTTCATCGTTCGATCAGGTTTTTATCATTGGGGAGGATGTCAACCTACTGGTGCTCCTCAACAGATTAAGCTCTGGAGTCTGGACAGACGAACGTATACTTCCAGAAAGGCGGGAGAGGTGGATCAGAGTGTGCCCAATATTCAGCAAATTCTTTCACATTTGGAAAAATGAATGTTCCACGGGAGATGGTTTTGTTCCTGCATGCTATTAGTAGGTGTGACACCACATCTGCCCTTTTCTGGCAAAGCAAGATGAAGTGGTGTAACGTCCTAAAAAAACCCCGAATGGATAGACCTCGCCAGAGTTTTCTTTGACCCCAACATCAACCAGGAAGAAGTAGGAAATGCTGGCGAGAAGATT